AAGACGCGATCTCTGGGACGGCAATTTTACTGTTCTGAGCTTTTGGCTTTACACGAGAGGCCATCGTCAGAGAAAACGAGAAAGCAGCAAATGTTGGCTACGCGTAAATGGGGTTGGGGGAGAGGGTGGCACTTATGATTGGTCCATGCTCAGGCCACCTTTTCGTGTCTCCCCTGCACGCGTTCTTGGAGTTATGGCATGTGACCTTGGCGCCCTGTCTTGCGTCCTTGCGGTGCCAGTCAGCATGCTTGAACAGGAACGGGGCCGTGGTTTCTGGTCGGGGGCACGGACGGCAAAATAACAGGGCGGTATATTCACATGCCTGTTGATTGAATTGGAGTCTGATAACCACACCTCCGGTATTTCTCACGCCGTCCTTGTTTTTCTGGCTTTGCAAGTCAAAACCAGAGAGCATTTTGATCTAAGGCTTTTACCACTGGTATCTCATCCCTGCATACGCTATGCTCGTAGCCCGTGCAGACTTGGCGGCGTCCTTGATTTTACTTAACACTTCTATCCGTTCTTCCCATCCTAACTGTCAAATTATTCACTTTCGACGCTCCACCAGACGGAACACGCTGCTAGCAAACAACGTCCTTGCCATCTTCGGAGCAATTCTGAGCAGCCTCTGTTTGGTGGCCAATCACTCTGCCCTCCTCTACGTCGGTCGAATTTTTTCCGGGCTGAACAGTGGCATTAGTATTGGTGTGGCTTCCATCTACCTGATGGAAATAGCCCCAAAGAAATATCGGGGCGGCGTTGGCGCTACCCACCAGTTGGCGCTCACTCTGGGCATCATGATTGCCTACATAGTAACGCTGTCGGCGCTGCTACAAAATGGCAATAAGTGGCCAATCGCCATCGGGCTGGGTGCCATCCCCGCCGCCATCTCCCTCGTGACCTTCCCCTTCTTTCCGGAGAGCGCCCGGTTCCTCTACCTCATCAAGGGCAAGGAGGAGGAGGCAAGGAAGGCTTTTCAGCGTATAAACGGCGACGAGGACGTCGATATGTTCCTGGCTGAGATGCGTGAGGAGAAGGAGGTTGCCTTGAGTCAGCCAAAATTCAAATTCATTCAGCTCTTCAAGCAGCGTGATCTGCGTATGCCCGTGCTCATTGCTGTCTTGATCCAAATCCTACAACAGTTCTCAGGCATCAATGCGGTGAGTCGATTCAGTTCTGTGAGCGTGCGTGCGTGAATCTGACTTTTGTTATATTTCTGAAGCACCGGTACTATTCCTGAGAACTGCTGAAGTTCCGTGATCAAGTACATTGTACATCTAACTAGTCGACACCCAGATCCTGACCTATGTGAAAACTAGCCTGTGTCGGCTATGTCAGTGTTCGGTTCCACTAACTAGATACTAGCAGTGTATTAAATCACGGCAAAACAAATAGAAGGCCATTAATTCTGCGCCCTTTGATGGTTTCTGTCTCAAATGCCAAAATAAAATCATTTAGTTTCCCGGGACTGTTGAGGTAAATGTAGTATTTGTTTTATAGGCCTGCAGTTCTCCTTGTACTGAGAAATTCTACGGAAAGATATAGCCGACCCCAACTGGAGGGGTTTCTGACGAAAAATATCTCACTAAAATATGACCGTTCGACTATCGGTCACGATGATGCCAACCGTGTGCTTCGAACAAGCTGGTGAATGGACGGTGACATGTGTGTGCAATAGTTTAAGGCGATAGTAGGCTTGCACGGCACCTACCGCACTCTCTCTTTCGCCACCCACATGTGCCCAGTATAAAGCCATAGTCAAAAAGACCGGAGGTAGGATCAGGCGCAGGTGGCTGGCGCGACCGAAGCCGCGCCTACGCATGCCGTCATACCCTCCCCCCTATGCTCGACATTTGTTATCGGTGCACAACCGGAATAAAACCTGCCATACCTCGATGTGGCCACCTTATTGGTCCAGCGCATCTATCACTCGGCCCGTGTAAGGTGACAGAACCAAAATATGAATAGCGTAGCGACAAATGGAAACAAAAACAGCAGTTGGCTCTGGCGTGTTCAGTGCCCATCTCAGCCGATCCCACTGCGAACCAGTATGTGCTAATAGACACCAAGCCAATATACGTGCAGACATAGTAGACCGTCTGTCGCAGACGAGGTGAACTAACACTGTTGCCAGAGTGATGTACACGTTAATGGTTTTCTAATGAAGAGAACTACTCAGGAACCCTCACACTTTTCCCAGATCCACTATGCTGCAGTATTAAGACAAG